AGACACTTTTCAAAATCTTCCAATACATGAGATAACTATGGAGCATTTAAATTTAAATTCAAAATCAAACCATTTCCATAATGAAACAATAGTTTGATAGAGAGAGAGAGAGAGGATAGAGAGAGAGAGAGACACTGAATTGTTTTGTCTGTAATTGTGTGTATATTTTACAAAGAGAATGCACTCTCTTTATAGAGAGAATATGATGCATTGGATGCCTACCGAAAGCATAAAGAATTTACAACATAAAAGATAAAGGCTAAAGCTATAATGCTAAGCTATGATGTGCTATAATGCTAAGCTATGATGCTATAACAGCTATTAACAATTATACACTAACATCCCCCCGCAAACTCAAGGAGGGAAAGTATCAACCAAGTTGAGTTTGGAAATAAGATCATTGAAGCGGCCAGGAGGATGAGCCTTAGTAAAGATATCAACGGGTTGATCGACTGAAGCAATAGGGAGAAGATGAACAGTACCACAGGTAACATGCTGGCGAATGAAATGACAATCAATCTCAATATGTTTGGTGCGATCATGAAAAACATCATTGTGAGCAATCTGAATGGCACTCTGATTGTCACAATAGAGAGGGTTAGGACCAGAAGAAGAAACACCCATATCAGCAAGGAGCCAGCGAAGTCAGAGAAGTTCCTGAGTAGTATCAGCAAGAGCTCGTTATTCAGCTTCGGTGTTAGAGCGGGCAGTGAGGGATTGTTTTTTGCTACGCTAAGCAAGAAGAGAATCCCCTAAGAAGAAGCAGAATCCCGTGGTAGAGCGTCGATCCGTAGGATCCCCAGCCCAATCAGCATCGGAAAAGGCACGCAGTTCAAGAGAGGAGGAAGCAAAGAAGTGAAGGCCATGGAACAGAGTGCCTTTGAGGTAGCGAAGGATGCGGAGTAGAGCAGTATAGTGGGGAGTGCGAGGAGCCGACATGTACTGACTGACAATGTGAACAGCATAGGCAATGTCAGGACGAGTTACTGTGAGATAGACAAGACTGCCGACGAGCTGGCGATAAAGAGTAGCATCGGAGAGAAGAGTCCCATTGAGAGGAGTGAGACGAATACGAGGATCAACTGGAGTAGAGGTAGTTTTGCAATCAGTAAGACCAACACGAGCCAGAAGATCGGATGCATATTTGGCCTGGGACAAATAGGAACCAGTAGAATTATGAGAGACTTCAAGGCCTAAGAAGTAGTTAAGAGTACCAAGGTCCTTCATCTCAAACTGACGGTGGAGAAACTGTTTGAGGTGGAGAATACCAGCTTTATTATTACCAGTGATAATCATATCATCCACATACAGAAGAAGAAGAGTGGTACTATGAGAAGTAGTCCGTATAAAAAGAGCAGAGTCATAGGAGCTAGAGGTGAACCCGAAGTCATGAATGGTAGAACTGAACTTAGCAAACCAAGCACGAGGCACTTGCTTGAAGCCATAGAGAGCACGCTGTAGTTTGCAAACCTGATGAGGTGGAAAAGTGAACCCAGGTAGAGGTTGCATGTAGACCTCCTCAAGAAGATGACCATTGAGGAAAGCATTTTTGACATCCATCTGAAAGAGCCCCCAGTGACGAGCAGCAGCAATAGCAAGTAAACTGCGAACAGAGGTAAGCCGAGCAACATGAGAGAATGTCTCCTCATAATCAATACCATATTCCTGGTTAAAACCCTTAGCAACAAGACGAGCTTTGTAGTGTTCAATAGAGCCATCAGAATGTGTTTTGATTTTGTAAACCCATTTGCAGCCAATCGCAGTCTTGCCAGGAGGAAGATCAACAAGATCCCAAGTATGAGCTTTGTCCAAGGCCTGGAGTTCATCAGTCATAGCTTGCTGCCAAAGAGGATTAGTACAAGCCTCACGATAGGAGGTAGGTTCATAAGTAGAGAAGGCAACAGATCCAACAATATAATCACGAAGATGGATAGGAGGTTGAATTACCTGGCGTGGTCAACCCGTAGGAGGATCGGTGGGAGGAAGAACCGGTAGAGAAGGAGGTGTGGCAATGAGAGGTAGACCTTCAGGGAGAGCAGGCTGGACGGGATAAGGAGTGAGCAAGGACGTCTCGATGAAGGAGGAACCTGTATCAAAATCAACAGAGAAAAGATCTATGGAAGGATTAGTAAACAGTACAGTAGTGGAAAGTGCGGGTAAGTGAAAGGAGGATAGCGAGGAAAACATTTGGTGCTCCCAGAAAATGACATGGCGGGAGATACGAAGACGTTTAGAGAGAGGATCCCAACAGCGAAAGCCTTTATGTTCAATTCCATACCTAAGAAAGAAACAAAGATGAGAATGTGGTTCAAGCTTGGTGTGTTCATGGGATTGAAGTAGAACAAAGCAAGCAGAGCCAAAAACTCAAAGATTGGCGTAAGGAGGGGGAGTGCCATGCAGACGTTCAAAGGGAGTTTGATTATGGATGACAGGGGTAGGAGCATAGTTGATAGTGTAAATAGCAGTGAGGGCAGCTTCCTCCCAAAAGTTTTCAGGGTAGGAAGAAGATAGAAGGAGAGCGCGAGTAGTGTCAAGAATATGCCTATGTTTTCGTTCAGCGCGACCATTTTACTGGGACGTGCCAGCACAGGAACGATGAGGCAGTGTACCATGATGCTGAAGAAAGGAAAGGTAATCAGAATCCCGATATTCCATAGCATTGTCAGAGCGAAAAATTTTGATGGCTTTGGAGAATTGGGTGTGGACCATTTGGGCAAATCTATAATAAATGTGTTGAAGTTCAGACCTATTTTTCATGAGAAAAAGACAAGTAAATTGGGAAAAATCATCAATAAAAACAACAAAATAGCAGGATCCCCCCATAGTAGTAGTAGGGGAGGGCCCCCAAATATCCGAATGTATAAGATCAAAAGGGGCAAGAGAAACAGAAGTACTCTTATTAAATGATAAAGCAGGTTGTTTAGCAAGTTGACAGGGTATACAATCGAAATTATCGGGAATTACATGACCCAACTGTCCACTAGAAACCAAAGACCTTAAACGAGTAACAGAAATATGCCCTAAGCGACAATGCCAAAGATGAAAGGGAGATAATAAGGAAGTAGATGCAGGAGCAGCAATCTGAGGAGAGGCAGGAACATGAAGGTGAATGAGTTCATAGAGACGTCCACGCTTACGGCCGATCCCAATAGTCTGCCCCGTCTGAGGGTCCTGTACCAAACAATCAGTAGCAGAAAAGGTGACAGTTAGACCAAGTTCACATAATTGACCAATGGAAATAAGATTTAAAGTGAGAGCAGGGATATGATAAACGTGAGGTAGAGATAAAGAAGAGGTGGAAACAGTACCAACATGACGAACAGACAAGACACTACATCACAATAACTTCAAAGGTATGCAATAATTGCTCAAAGTAAAACACGTCGACGTAGTTTGATAAATTTATATTTATTTATTTATAAAAATATGTTTGGTATATAAAATTTCAAAAAGATTATTTTGAAAACATGTTAGATGGGTGCCTAAAGGTGAATGCAGATGGTGATAGTGGACAATAAGGTCTCGTTTGAGAAGTTAACTATTTTAATAGATTATTTTAATTTTTGATTATTTTAATAGATTAAAAAAAAAATATTAGAGGTCTCAAATATTTTTTTTATATTTCTATTAAAAGTCTCACATTAATGTTGTGAATTTTAGCTCAAAAAGAAAAAGAAAAAAAAAAAACTTCACTAAACGAACAAGACAAAAATTCAATCACATATAACATTTTCTTTTTTTCTTTTTTTCTTTTTTTCTTGGGGTCGGACTAATAATACACTACTAAAAAAAGTACTTTTTGCGACCGCTATAAACCGTCGCAAATAATAAAAATACAGTCGCAAAAGACCTTTTGCGACTGCCCATGCGACGGCAAATGGGGGTCGCGAATGTGGGGGTGGCAAATACTTTTTGCGACCGCAAAATAGCAGTCACAAACTATTTGTGACCACCTAACTTACTTATGGCGACTGATATTTTGCAGTCGCAAAAAGGTTTAAAAAATGCCTACAATGTATTAGCGACCATCTTGTTACCGTCTCAAAAACTTTGAAAAAAAAAACATAAAAATGTGGCGTTAAGCAATAGCAATGGCCCAAACACAATCTATTAAGCACCAACAAGAAACATAACAATGTAACGTTCACAAACAACAATTGTCACTGTTCAAGAGGAGTCTCAGGAGCCTTATTAATCCATTAAGCTTCAAATAAAACCAAATAACTAGTTTCAAACAAAGCACAAAATACTATTTGAAAAACTCCATGCCAAGTGAAGATGTTCAACTAAAGAGGCCATGTTAAAATCCCATTCTCCCACTGCTCATTCCATTTCTCAATCTGCAATAATTAATAATAAAAAGGATAAATAGGTGAAGTTGTATTTTTTGCTTATCTATCCATGATTATACAAATTATTTTTATACATAAAACACATAAGTATACATTTGTAAAATAGTAATCAGAGTAAAGAGAGGCAGTAAACTAGCTAAAACAAAAAGTTAGGTGCCACTATATAAAAGCCAACAAAACTTAATCACAATAACACTGACAAAATGCTAATTTTGTATTATCAAAATCCTATAGGATGTGATAAAAAGAAATAGACATCGTGGGAAAAGAAAAGCATACCAGCATCAGTCTGCTGACTACTTTCATCAAAACCCTGCATTTGAAATATATGATCAGACAAAGTTACCGAAGGAGCAGGTTAGCCCCACTGCATATATAGCATCCTCCATGAGTATCGAAAATGAAGAAATAATCCTTAGAAAGATTAGCCAACTCTAGAAACACTAGAAGGGGAAAAAAATTGAAGTATTCTTTTTCATTTTGTTATTATTGAACTCCCCTGACATGAGTATCAAAAAAGAAAATAAATCAAGACTTGATGACTTGCTGCTTCTTTTAGATGGTCCCTTCATTTCTGCCAAGCATTACAATTTACCGCTTCCAAGTTGTGTGAATAAATGATGACTGCCCCAGGGGAATAAAGATGTAGCCATTATTATTATTTTACTCATCTTTAGAAAACTCACCTAAGAGAAGAAGAAGAAGAAGAAGAAAATCCATTACATAAAGAATTGCAACATACTCATATTCCTCAGGCATATTCTTCTTTATTTCTTCATATGTCATTCCATCACACACTCCAGCATTTATCTCTTTAAGTGCACGCCATTGTATCTGCAAAATCAAAGCATTGAACAGGCTCTTAGACTAGAATCTAGATACAAACAAACTCCTTTGGGGGGGTGGGGTAATGGGGACATTTTTCTGGCACCGACCTTTGGAAATCCAACGATTGAACCAGCTGTCAAAATTGTTCTCTGCAATGTGCTAGTCCATATCTAGGCCATAGGCAAAAGCACACAAAATGGCTATAAGAATTTCTGAAAGCAAGCTTGTACAGAAATTTAAGGCATTTATATTCATCATTAACATAGCATTTGTGTACTCTAGTATGGTAGCTGAGGCATACGTTCCTCTCCTAAGAACAAAACTAAGCATTTGCTTCCAAAAAGCATGTCTAAATGCTTCATTGGTGAAGTTGTAGAATATAATTTTCTATGTAGTTCAAAGTCATAGATTCATCCCTAGTGTATAAAAGGCAAGACAAAATCATCTAAAGGAAAGGCTTTCTAGCCACCAAAATGTGGTGGAACTGAACTAAATTGCCATCACAGCATGTCATCTTTATGATGCAGTCCACAAGCAGGCCCCAAGATGGGGAAATGAATGGCTAACAACCACAGCCTTAGGCAATTGTGGGGTGGTGAAATGAATAGCTAACCACAGCCTTAGGCATTAGCATGATCTGATTATACAGCAAAGGCCACATGATGACCCAAACAACCTGCAAAGACTGATGCTAGAAGGATGGCCAAAGAAAGACCGGTGTGTTTTATCTGGTTCTTACTTCCTGGTAGTATCTAGGCTTTTTTTTTTCTCCTCCCTTCTTCGGGGCTTTTATTACTTGAGGGACTGAAGCCCAAGTTGCATCATGCCTCAGCCCCCATGATAATAAAAGAGAGATTTCACTGTCATAATTTTTCAAGAATTATACCAATCAGGATCAGGATGATTGAATCAAGCTAATGATCAGCAATCCACCTTTTTTTTATATTAGCCTCCTCGTTGGGGAGAAAAGTTACAGAATTAACGAAATATCCCATAAGTTATCATCATCACAACAAATAGAGAGCATGAAGACAGGTTTCCTTGGAAAGGAAAAGAAAAGTTTTGTGGATGCTTTGAGTTTGAGCAAAGATTGACAGAACACACAAAGAATCAATCTTACACAAGTACTGGCAGTAAATAGAATATATATATATATCAAATTTGCACATCATAAATAAATCAAGTGTGTTGGCAAAGCTTACAGAAGCAGCCCGCTCATTTTTCAGTCTCTTTTCCACGAAGTTAGCAAGTTTCTTTGCATAAATCTCTCCAGTATCACCGTTCAAAGAAGTTATCAAATCAACCGACTTTCATCAAAGAAGAGGAGTTCATTGTGAACTTTGTAGCAAATTAAATCAACAGAATGATCAAAGAACATATTTTAGCACAACATAACCAAGCCTATGTCTAGAAAATAATCTTGGCCAAATGTTAAGCAGCAGACAGATATGGTATATAGACAACTAACAGCACATTAAGGGTGGATATACTTGATAATAACTTTACTACAATTGAAAAGGGATGTATTACAAAAATAAAAGTAATTTTATTGGGAAAACGGAATAAAGCGGCATGACCAAGTACTCACCCAAATTGGTAAGCCAAGAGCAAGAAGACTACAATTCTAGTTGTCCCAGAAAAAACAGAAATATTTTAGAGGCAAATAATACATTTCAGGGGAGAAAATGTAGCAATTTTGATCAGGAACATTCAGAATTTTTCAAAAATGGTCGACGAAATAAAATAGCAAACCTCAAACCAGAGTCACTCCCAATCCTGCCTCTAACATTATCTCGACTTTCTCCATGCCTTGTAAGTAAGATTGGACGGGGTGTGAGATGCGTATTCACCTGCAAGACATTTATGAAAATTCATGTTCCAGGTTAAATTTTTACACTACAGTTACAACAGATCAATTATCAGAAAACTGGAAAGATATCTTCATTACTTGAACAGCCATCATCATGATATAGTGATTAGTGACCAAAGTGTCTGCCGAATAAGAACCTTAAAATTAGTAAATACGTATCTCCAGAACTTTGTAAGCATAACATCGATTATCAAATTTTCTAGTTGTATCATTCATAGAATGCCTTTGCATGCACAATTATCACAAATAGTATTTTAACCATGAGCATTTTAAACATGATTTTCTATACTAGTTTCCTATAGAGACCAAGTTACCTTAGACATATCAATATATGATAGTCCGGGTAGACACTTACTAAGTTCCACTAATATAGCAATGTTCTGCAAGTGATCATTTCTTACACTACTAGTCAACAATTGTAGAATACATGGTCGCTAATAGGATGAAGATTCCTTCTATATTACCCAAGGATCAAAATTTCATTTAGGAGTGATGTTTCTGTGAGCATGGAAATGAAAACATTTTGGAAATGTTTCATAAACGTAAGCGGAGTTACAAAATAATTTGGAGAAGTATGGATATGTATGGAAACAAACACTAAAACAAATTGAGGTCTAAACATCTCTTTACATAAAGGGCATCTGGAAGTAAACACAATCTGAACAAAAAAAATGTTAAATTAATGTCAAAGTGAGGATTTAAAAGTGCATAAGATTCCAACCAAGTAAGGTTCTACAAAATTATAAAAATTAATATTAATAATAAACAAATGTTAAAAGTTTTCAAAGGTGTAGGAGGTGAAAACAGTGATTAGCTGCTACCAGCTAGGCCAACTAAATGGCCAATCTCATCTTCAAGGTGTGAAAAGTGAGTCAAGAACTTGTCATGAAGCTTAGAGCAGTCAATGATTTTGCTGCAAATGAGGAAGAACATCACAAATAATTTTCAAACCACTCTGCAGCAATTCCACCCCTTGGTTAATTCCATCAGGAAGTTTCCGTATTTTATAGGCTTGGTTTTCAACGTCAATCTGAGAAAATAACTGGAGGAAAAAGAAAAATGAAAAAAAAAATGTGAACATGTTTGAGCATGGGAGATAAGATGGAAAAACAGTTGTGAACTGGTGTCTTGCAAATAACCATCGAATTTTGCTTGCCAATAGTTGTCATTCTTAGTATCTCAACAAATTATTGTTCATTACAGACTGAATAATTCAATGTCAGTTACTGGCATTCAATTTAAGACCTATCCTTAAACATGATTATTTAGTCATCATTGATTCCACAGAGTCAATTTTTACTTTTACATGTAAAAGTTCATTGATCAAATGTAAAGGAATTCATTACTTACAAAGATTGCAGGGAAGCAGACAGAGCAAACACTGGTGCACCAAACACACCAGAATCGCACCCTCTGATTGATACATCATCAAAGCTCTCCATGAACTCAAAGTATTCAATTAAAATTCTTTGTGTAGCAATACTTTTCATTCTATCAGAAAGCAAATTTAGCACACTAATTTAATAATATAAATCGGTATTTTAATAATAATATAAATCAGTATTTTAATGTAGAAACACACTAATGTTTTCTCGAGAAGATAGAAAGCCACTGCTCTACTTAAATAAATGTCCAAAAACGCTTTGGAAGTTCCAAGAAACACTTTCGTTTTCCCATGAACTTCAACCCCAAAAACACAGAATCAAAAAAAAATTCAAAAACAAGAAAGATATCAATAGCAAGTAATTTATGGAGCAGATAACAAACAGCAATACAAAAACAAACATAACACACCAGAAATTCAAATCAAACTATCAATCAAGAAGCGTCTTGCACAGAAAATATAGCAAATTAGAATGTTTGAATCAATTCAGAAAACAATGTTACATGAGAGAACGGTTTTGAATACCAAAGTACAATTTGTTCGATTTGTTTAACATGCATTGCACCAGATCTGGTACATATATATGTACCAATTAGTTCGGTTTTAGGAGAATTTGATCAAATGATCGAAAATCTAAAATAAATAACAAATAAATAAAGTTTCTTTTTGCTAGCATGACCAATTCGAAAGCCCAAATCTTAGATTTAATTTAACATAGCAAAAAATTCAATCAAATTTTCAGCAGGTATTAAAACAGACGAAAATTTTCAGTAGGTATTAAAACGGAGCACATGCCAATCCAATTACTATACATGCAAAACCACATAAATCCATCACCGATCATGACTATTGAACTTACAGTAAAGATATATAGACAAAAATTAAAAGCAGATCAGAAAGATATGTGAATCTCGGTATAAATCAAAGTTACTTAGCAATGAATGAACACAGATATATATATATATATATAACAAATTTTCATGTACTGTTAGCTGCAAAGAGAAGAAAGTGTACATGCTTAAATTGTTGCAAAATTCAAAGAATATATATATATACAGAGAGAGAGAGAGAGAGAGAGAGAGAGAGAGAAGGGGAAAAAAACATGCCAGAGATTAATCGACAGAAATACCTAAAAATGTTGATTTTGTGTTGCCCTAGAGAGATCATTTTGGACAATCCAAGGGGCAATCTGAGTGATAATGAATGAAAAATATAGATTTCAAAAGAACCATAAAGAGAGAGTAGGAGATTAAGAAACAGAGAGAGAAAGCAAGATTGACCGAGGCAAAGAGATATAGAACGAGATTGAGAGGTCGAGAGAGTTCGTAACGCCATTTCCTTGTTTAATCTCAAAAGTGAGCTGTGAAGAAGAGGTTGAAGTTGGATTCGACGGTGAAGATGACAGAATCGGGGCTGGCGTCTCGAGTTCTGATCATCAAACCCTAGTAGCTCCGGCATTGTGGTCTGTTGCTTCTCATCACAATCTTAGAGAGAGAGGACGAGAGAGAGAGCGAGAGAGAGAGAGACAGAGCGCAACCATGGCGAGCGAGAGTGACAGAGATCTCCGTTTGTGAATTGTCGGGAAAGTCAGAGTGAAAAGGATTAGGGCATAGGAATAAGAAAAATTCAAAATAAATAGTAAAAGAAAAAATTATGAACCTGCACTTGCAAATATTATTTTTTGCGACGGTGAAATAGTCCGTCGCAAAAAGTTAGTCGCAAAAAACTAATTTTCTAGTAGTGAATATAAGTCTAAACATTATTTATCCTAAGTATTTTTCACCTTGGGACAAGTATTAATAGAATAAATAATATTAAGACCTATGAAACACGGATATTTTAGAAAGAGAGACATATTTCTATATCCTAAGCTTTTTTGGAGGATCAAATACTTAATTTTGAAATATTAGATTATTCAAGTCACATATTAATTCTAATACTTTATTTAGTACTTTGATAAGAAAAATATAGTTAGAGTTAAAATAATAAAATTTGTCAAATTGATGTGTGTTTATTATTCCATGCGTGTCCGTATAACTATACAAAAAGTAAGGATTAATAAGAGATTACAACAATAGTAATACAATAGTTTTAATAGTGACAAAGGGAAAAGCACCGGGGCAAATTGTGAATTGTTCTATTATTGTAATATAAATATATTGGAGTTGATATTGAAATAAAGTATTTGTAGGACTTATTAAAAATTAAAAAATTAAACAAGCTACTCTCTTAAATTAATACTTATTTCTTAAAGGTTAGTCTTTTGCATTATAAAATTACAATGTGGTCTCTCAATATTTTTAAGCTTATCGATAACTCACTATTAATAATTTTTAAAAATATATATTTTTACAAATGTATCCTAATCGTACCCATGGACAATTTTTTTTTAAAGATTTTGTTGCATCGCCTTATCCATATTATATCACTATTCGTGCTTCCTAGATTAAGATTATATTCATAAGCCATGTTCTTAGTATAATGCTAGCAGATAATTCAACTTTTTTTTTGGTGCCAACCTAATTAGGATTGCTTAGCTTTACTATGATGTTTTGTGTACTCGTCTTCTTTTATTGATGTATATCTCAAGAATTCTATGTACTTTGATTACCATCAATAAAATTTCTGTTCATTTTTTTAATTTTTTTAATATTAAAAAAAATTCAAATCACGGGGCAACCACTTTGTGCACTATGTCAGAGGTTAGGTGTATACTGAATCTTTTCCTTCCCAAACACACATTAATGTGTACTAATTGGGCATTATTTTTTTACTAATAAAAAAAGTTCAAATTACAACAGTGGTCCCTGTAATTTGATTTTTATGTCATTGTAGTCTGTGTAATTTCAATTAGCTTGATTTTGATCTTAAATTTATAATTTTGTCTCAATTTGGCCCAATTGATTGCAACTCTTAGCTTTTTTTATTTTATTTTATTTTATTTTTAATTTATGACAAATATGCACATAAGTGTCATGTGCCATATTTTTAATAGCAAAATTACAAACTTACCAAACTCAGTAAGTTAATCTTAACTAATGTAGTAATATTTTTTCTTAAAATGCATTGACGATATTATCAATTATACCAAATTGACTCAAAATTTAAAATTAATGATTAAAATTGAGTCAATTGAAAGTGTAGGAACTAAAATGACATAATAAGTAAAACTAGAAATCACCGGTATAATTTTTCCTAAAAAAGGAAAATGGAGTCGTTGTTGGGCTTTTGTGGGCCCGCCACGGAACATACTTTAATGATCCAAATTGATCAAATTGAATGGCTTGTTGAGAAGATCATCATTGTAAAAAATTATATTGCTTGACAATTGTAACCACATATTTAGATCACATTCATCATAAGAAAATGGACGACAATTATAACTTTGATTACGGACCATTTATTATTTTGAAAACAAATGCAATCTAATAATGCACCTAAATATTCTGGTTAATATGATTTTTTGTAATGATGATTTTCTTAATGAGCCTTTCGACGTTAATAGCTCAAAAATTGATATTAATAACTCAGTGATTGGCCTATAAAGGCCCAATAACACCTCCAATTAACGGAGGGAAGCCTTGCCCTTAAAAAAAGTCTTTGAAATTCCATTGTTCACATGTATATAATATATTAGGAAGGTGATTGCAGCAAGTAGGATTCATTTCATTGATCTCAAATTGAATATGCTGATCTATTAAGTAAAAACTAAAACAGAAAAATGGAATCAAACACCACAGAAGTCAAGCATAAGGAATCATCATTGTTCTCATCTACGAGGGCAAGGTCATCCATACCTGGAACAACAGTTCTAGTTTTATGATACAAGAAGTCAATAGAAATGCCCACCTTTTTCAGCAATATATAAATCGTATTTTTAGTAACAAAAACTTATTGATTGCCAGGCCAACTTAGTTCACCAGACTATCCTATAAGGTTTTTTTTGATGAATGTGGCATAGCAATGTAAGTGCCACGTGGCTCACCATTATACAATTTGTTAAGAGTAAATGCTCCAACTTAGCTCACCAGACTATCCAATAAAGTTTTTTCATAAAAAAAAGAAGGAAATTTTATTGACTATCCTATTAGAGTTATGGGTTATAAAGAAAAGTTGCACCATATACTTCACAGTTGACCTAGATTACGAGTTGATCATCTACATAGATCTCCACATATATTATATATAGTTCAATTTTCCTTATGTAATATATATATTTTTTAGTAAGCATTGGGCCAACTGTTTCACATTATTAATTTTTTTTAATACAGACCATAATCTTGGCAAGGGAAAAGTTTTGTCTATGGCAAAGCATGAAAGCCCTTAATCTCCGAGTATGGTACAAGAGGAATTATAGCCAACAGAGCTAGCCCAAGCTAGTTAATTTTTCATTTTTGGTTAAATTACAAATATATCCCTGAGGTTTGTTTAAAGTATAGATTGTCCTCTGTGATTTGAAAAATTACAAATATCCCATTGTCAGAATGTTTTATTTAACAGAATTAACTAAAAAAATAAAATTCATAATTGTTCTCCTATACAATAATAAAATTACTTAAATTATTAATTAAAATATATTTCTAATATTATTAAGAACTGTTAATTGACTTGATGATTTATTGATAAAAATAGCAATTTGTTATGAAATTGAAAACTTCAAGGGTGAAATATAATTTTCAAAACTACAGAGGATGATTCATATTTTAAAGTGTATTGTAATTTGCCCTTAATTTTTTTGTTTGTTTGTTGTTATTTTTTTTTTTTTACAGAAAAATTAAGAAGAAATGCTTTTTTTTTTTTTTTTGTCGAATGACAAGTTTGTAGATTTTCAGAGAGAGTGGATCCATATATATGTATGACTCATGCTTGCTAGAACAATCCGTACTTTGATTTGATCAGAAGACCCTATCCTTTCAGATGTGTGTTTCACGGGTCAGTGACAATAAAAGATCAGTTGGTTGGTATGAAGACGTGGAGATAATTAATCGATCGACAATGCTACGTAGTTTAAATTTTGTGATTTAAAAGTGGTTTAAATGGTTAAAACGATGTCGTTTTGAGTACAGAACAACATAAAAATGACCAAAACGACGTCGTTTTGAGTAC